CTGCAATGGTTACTAAATAAGTTCCAAGGACAGCACACAAACTTCGATCTTAGGATTACCTATGCTGGCAGTTTATATCATAACTTTAATAACTACACCAAGGAGAATTTACAGTTTTAACAGACAACTAAAAGAGGAAGCTAGTGATAGGGTCAATCCTTCCTGTCACTCTTAACAAGATGACAATATAACTTGGTGCCAGCTTTCCCCCAGGCACAACTTACTCACTGTAAGCAAAAGAACTAATTAGAAGTTAGGAGTTACTGCAAAACTACAAACACAAAGGCTGCCTCCCCCCAAGTTTCAGAGTCAGAGTTAAAAATGATCTGCAAAAATGAAAAGCTCCCATCTTTGGAGACAGAGTTGAGAATGCCAGTATTAACTGTCTTGCAATTGTGGGTCATCACAAATCAGACTACAGAGACCAGACACTTCTAACCTGCAGTTCACAGAGGGAGATGAGCAGAACACAGATCCCTTCTGCCAGGTCTCAGAGTGCTGTGCCCAGACTCTACCCCCCCCCCAAACCATCATGAGACCAGATCCGTTGCAAAACCAGAGTCTTTATATTTAACGAGCTAACTGGAATTAACTGAGGTCCTCTGTCTCCCTGACGCAGCGGGTGGAGTGACAGGTCCTCGAGCAGCAGTGGGGCAAGGAATATAACGGGGTAGAGCAAGGGGAGTGAGTGTCTGGGGGTCTGCTAGTTGCATAACGACAGTCTCAGGACTGGTGCACCTCCAGGCTTGGGCAACCTGTCCTGTGCTGATTGGCCAGCTGCAGCTGCAGAAAGGTTGTGATGCCTAGAGGCCCTCCCAGGGTGGTTGCTATGCTCTGCATTCCACTATTAACAGTAAAGCACATCCAGAGCCCACCAGCTAACTTTTGATTGGTTCCTGGCTTCCTAGTAATTAGGGCAGGGTCTGGCAAGGTCGGGAGCTCAGCACATGTGGCTGGGTCAAAGACCTACGTCTTGCTGGGTCTTTTCTGCACCCTGTCATGACTGCCAAAGCAATGGGCTTTGTGAGGGCCTGGACCCTTCAAGAGGGGTTGAGATCATAGTTACCTGACAGGTTAGTATCTAAAGCATTGTAGCTCTGAACTTCAAGTTCCTGACTTCACACAGCAAGAATGCAAAATGTGCACATTACTGTCTCTAAGCAACCTGCTTACTAACAAATGACACAGAAAACAGATAACTATGAAGCTCAAACTCTGCTAAGCTCTTCACATTTGGCCCCCTATGTTTATAGTCACACCTAATTCAGAAAACAGTATTCATTTCTGGGTACTTTTAGCCTTTTATTCCTTGATTTCATTATTAAAATAGTCTCTTTCAAATGATCTAGTTCCTAAGAGTTATGAAGCAAATCAAGAAAAAAAAAGTAAGCAAACACACATGGACCAAAACATGACATCTGAAACTAAGGGTTCCCATATAGTTCACTTGGCAGGTGCAATAATGCTTTACTCTTTGTCTGAGCACCAATATAAGTGATGGGCAGTTGTGTGGGGCATTAAGTATGTCTTTCCCTATCCAGACAGAGAGGAAGTTCCTTGATAGAACTGTAATATCCCACATTGCTGAGGCATCTGTCGAGTCCAGTCGACCTGTCTGGGTTTGCACCTAAGAAGGGGAGTGTGGGCTGAGTAAAAACAGGCTAGAGACAAGAGATAGAGTCAGGAGGGCACCTGGTGAATACCAGGATCAGCCCAAATTTATTATTCAAAGATTTTTATACCCCTATCAAAAGAGGGGGAGAAGGTAAAAGACTTCCTTTCCAATGATACAAGGAACAGACAGCAATTACCTCTTCAATACCTGAAATGTCAGGTAACTATATCCTGAGGTAAGTATTCTGCTGTCTAATGTGTGGAGAATCCTGTTTCATTTACATCTTAACCCAGACATCCTGTTGTCATGGTAAGACACACAATAGCCACACCTTAGGCCAAACATTCTGTTGATTAACCTTGAAAGAGAAATAATAAGCTCGAACTCTCTGACCTTAGGTCAAGATGGAGCAGAGCCATTTTTATGGGCCCTGGCACAATTCATGTCCTGCTAAGCCAGGAAAGAAAAGTCAGACTCATCAGGGATAGCACACTTGCTTACTTCACCTCTCTTCCTTTTGTCATGCAATTGATTAGTTAATTAATTAATTAAGTGCAATTTAGAAATGAAGAGCACAAATGCTTCCCAATGCTATCATTGCACACCCAATACATAAGAAGAAAGACACTTTTTTCTATTTGACTTTTGGAGAATTCTACTCTACAACATCACGGAATATCGGGATCAGCTATAAATACCTCACCAAGCCTGGAGCAAAATCACGTGGAGCCCGGACTGCGGCTAGCCTTTAAAGGGCAACCTGTCTAGCACTTTGCTCTGGAAAACTAATGTTAGCCTTCTCCCAGTTTAGACTGAAATGAAAGTTATACATTGTCAAGGTCATGTCCCAGGTAGAACAAGAAGTCCCTGTAGTGTAGGGAGAAAATGTCTCCTGTCCAGAGAGTGCCATGAGATGGAGCAGTCTTAAAGCAATAGGGTGCAAGGTGTAAAGGAATTTAAAAATCCAAACCACAGCCTTGATTGCCTAATTATCTAAATGCTCTCCGTATGTGGTTGCCATGATACTGAAAGGCTCTGAATCTAGTGTGGAAATTTCAGCCAAAAGCTGTTTGACTAGCCTCCATTTTTCCCTTAATGCTCTTGACCTTTTATGAGCGTCAGCATCACTAGAGACTTCACATACCTACATTGAGGTGTCCAGACTATATTGATGGTGGGTGATCTTCTAGGCTGCCCCAAATCCATAGCCAGCTGGAAGACTGCCATCCTAGATGTTCACTGACTTTTATTCTCTGTTTGAGTTCTTTGCTTAGGAAACACCAGTTCACATACTGGTTGCAACTGTAATTAGGCAATTTATTGGAGTGGTAATTAACATATCAATGACCTGGTGTTAAAAGGAGAGGCAATTGTTAGTTTCTGTGCAGACTAAGTAGAACGATCTGGAAGAAAAATCACTTAAATGTAAGTAGGAAAACAACTGTAATCAAATTAGTCATGGGCCAGCCAACTGTAAGAACAGGAGTGGGGATAATTGGGAAGGAGATAAAAAGCTGGGGATAGAGTTCTGTACTCAAGTTCCCATCATGCCATTCCATTTAAAACAAAAGCAGGATCCTCATTGGGAATCCTGATCAGTGCTGGCTTTCTTATGTAAGAAAGACAAAGACCCCAACCACGAAACCATTTTCAACCAACTCAGAGTGAAATATATCTGGTAGCAAGTGGACCTTTACATGTTTAAGAGAAGAGTCTAAGGAGCGGGAGAGGTGGCTAAGCAATTAACGAGGCACACTGCTCTTCCGAAGGATCTGAGTTTGCTTCCCAGCTTCCATGGAGACTCACACCTTGCTGTAGTTTCCACTCCAAAGGAGTTGGTTGATGCCTCCTTCTGGCCTCTGAGTAGTTGTTCATATGCGGTGTGAACTGTGCGGATAGGCATGTATACACACACACACACACACACACACACACACACACACACACACACACACCCCATACAGCCAGACATAAAAAGAAATCTTTTTATAAAAGATAAGGCTATTAAGCACATATATATATATATATATATATATATATATATAGAGAGAGAGAGAGAGAGAGAGAGAGAGAGAGTGCTTGGCTCTAATGGTGGACACTCGTCTTTCTACCTCTCTACCACAAGTAGAAGGATTATAGGTAGATACTTTTTAGTTAATGACCCAAATGATTCTCACTAAATTCAGAGTTCCATCTTACTTAAGGAAAAAGCTGAGCATTAAGAAGAGTAATTGCTTTTCCAAAAGTGTCTCAATAGTTGACTTGATTCTTTTTCTCTAGCACCTGAACCTGATAACTGTACAGAATGTCTTACTTGTACTATCTGACAGTGTGTCCAGACGTGCGTGGAAACCAGAGGTCCATATAAGGAATCTCAATTACTCTCCATCTTGCTTGTATCGAGACAGTCTCTCACTGAATGAGAGGGGCTCACTTGTTGGCCAAGCTTTCTGGCCAGGAGGAAGTCACAAGAATCTTCCCGTCTCTGTCCCTCTGGCACTGGGGTTATAAAGGCACACTGTCACAACTGGGATTTGTTTGTTTGCTTGGCTGGTTGTTGGTTTGGTTTGGTTTTACTTTGTGTGGGTACTGGGGATCCAAACTTATGTAGCAAGCATCTTCCGTGAGATCACTCAGGGTGAGCCAATCTCAGTGCTAGTGGTACCTGGAGCTGATACAGTAACTCTGGTCACATGACAAACCAAAAGCTCCTGGCACGAGGGACACTTTGGGACTTTGCATCTTGCTACACACCCTACACATCTGAACTAAAGGGGGTGAAGTGGGAAACAGTGGCCAGCTCTTCTTAATGAGGCAGTAAGTTAAGAATTAACTCCTAGTTGTTATTTGAAGTTCAGATTTATCGGTGGTATATAGATCATAAAAGTTAAATGAGAATATTCTAAAGAATTCACTTCATGAGAAGGAAAAGGTACACCAGAGGAGGAAGTTGTCTTCTGGAGAGAGTTGTCACACAGTTCTAACAACTTATCAGACTACTTCACAGGAGACAACAGGAGCCTAGGCAAGGATGGGTTAATGGTGGTCAGGACCACACCGTGACTGGGTTTGCTTAGATGTGCACATCCTTGACCCTCTATTTAATCTTTGATCTCACTGAGGGTACTCAAGATAGACCTGGGGGAGTCTCTGAATCACTTTGTTTCTTTTCGGTGTGACCAATTTGTCTTTCTGCCTTCCACTTTTAACTCGGGTCTTTATATTGGCGTATTGAGGATAGGTAGCTAGGCCTAAGATGGGCACAGGCTGTGATACCCAAGTTTGAGAACATTAAACTGTTACTGGTTTTTGTGTTGGATATTGTTGTTTTGTTTTGTCACAGAGTCTTCCCAGGTACCCTAGAATGGTCTGAAAATACCTATGTGACCCTGTCTGTCCTCAAACTTACGGCCCCCTGGTAGTACTGGGGTTGCAGGTGTGCCACCATTCCACCAGATTCATTTTATTATGTCTTTATTTTGTTACACATTTTCATGGAATACAGAGAAAAATGACCATATTAATTGCAGGGAGCTGTTGGCGGTTACGGGGCTACAACGCTTCACAAGGATCCGAGCAAAGGGCTAAGGATGAAAAAAAAAAGACAGAGACAGTGACTCATTCTTGCAAGGAGAATGGCAAGAGCAAAGCTTTACACACCAGTCAGGCATGGTGGAAAACCACCAAGGTCAGAAGCCTACTTTCCCAGGGCCCTCCAACAAAGGATTGGCCAATAATAGGAATTAGCATTTAAACAATAATGTTGGACAGAAAAGAGGAACTTGCATACAGGCCTTACTAGGAGGAGGGGACAAGAGGTGTTTTGCTCCTAGTCACAAGCTGGTCAGAAGACCCCCATGGGGGAAGGGTGCAATAATTAATCCCTTTGTGTCACTCAGTATACACAATTTAAAGGAAGAAGGGCTTATTTTGGCTTACTGTCATAGAGAGAAAGGTAATAGATCCAAACAGTTCATGTAACAGTAGAGAAAATACATACAATGACGGGGAGTAGCCAAGAATTTGCTTCCAAGGACCCCCCCCCTCCAATGACCTACTTCTTCAAGAACCTCTCAAAACAGCACCACCAGTTGGGAACCAACATTCAACACATGGATTGGTGGAGGACATTGTAGATTCCAACTGGAAAAAACAAAAACATTAGTGGATGCTGACTTTTTAAGGAAGGACTCCTGCCTGGCTTTCAGCTGTTCCAAGGAGGATGTCCTCTGTCCCCAGGAACACTTTTCTCTCAGCTTCCAACTTTCAACTTCTCCAATTGCTTCAGAAACATCAAGTGGTCATCCTTGAAATTCTAATCTTACCTTCTTTCTTACACAAATGTCCTTGAGGTCCTCCATGATAAAACTGCCATTAACACTTTCCAGCATTCTTGACCCTGTAACCAATGAGAGCATGCTGGGAAGGATAAATCTTTGAGGGGTGTTGTTTAGGTTTGGGGTCCTGTTCCTGTTGTCACACTGTGTTCCCCCACGAGTTGCACACCAAATCACCAGTCTTACAGATGTGTTGAGTCAGAGGTCACGGGCCATCACTGTGTACTGGGCATTTCTCTACTCTTCCTAGAGGGGGCACTGAAAACAGTAAAAGCTTCACTTTTGGAGAGCAACTACAAATCAAGTAAGTGTATGATAGATGGTGCTAACCCTTTGGGAAAAAATAAGACTTTGTAAGAAGATATGAATTTTATGTATGATCACTGGAGGAACCTTTCGAGGAGAGATGAAGAGAAGTTTAAATTAGATGGGGCCAGCCTTGATGAAATTCAGGGAAAGCATAAGGGAGCCAAGGAAGCAGGGAGTGTAACACGGGCAAAACTCTGAGACCTGAGTCATTGCATTTGAGAACTTGCAAGCCTAGGAGTGAATGAGACTGGAACGGAGCAGACAGGACCTGTCCCTTCCTTTTCTCTCCACTTCTGTCCCCAGCCTGTGATGGCCTCCACACTCTCCCCAGCCTGTGATGGCCTCCACTCTGAGCATAGGACCGAGCAGACTCTGTTCTTGAGAGCTCTGTGTTCTTTGTGGGTTTATGCTGCTAACCTGTGCCAGAAAACATCCTCATCAGCTCCCAAGTTCCCTTCTTAGGACGGCATTTCCAAGCTCTGCCACCTTCCCCCTGGCCCCTAGCTTACTCTGGTGTCACTTGTTGCTGCCTCCCCCACTGAGCCCCCTTTCCCTTTGCCTCATGGTGACGCATGTTAAAGGTTGGAGACTCAGATGAAGATCCTTGGCAGGCACCTGTTGACCTCTACTGCAGGCAAGCTAGGAGGAAGCCTTATAACCGAGAAAGGACCAGGACGCTCTTGTTACTTGTCCCTCTCTCATCGCACAAAGCAGATCTTCCAGTAACTGTGGGTCATATGGTCTTCCTCATAGCAACCAGAAAACCAGACCCTTGACCCACATGCTCCAGCCTCTCCCAGATCTCTGCCTTGACCCTTCTTCCGGGAACACGGAATGTGTTGGTACATGATAGTCAGACTTGCCATTGCTGTGGTCAAATGCCTGTCGGGACAACTTAAAAGGTTCCGTTCCAGCGGGTTCTGCACTTTCTCTGCTTCTTCTGGGCCCGTGTGAAGCCGAAATCATGGCACCAAAAAGCTGGAATGAAAGGGGTCCAAAGGATATATACCACTTAAGAGCATACCCCAAATGAAAATTCCTGATAAGGATTCTCGAACACTCCCCAAAAAATAACTCTGACATGAGAACTTGTGGAAAGCATTTCATATTCAAGTCATAACTCACCTATTTATTGTGACCACATGACCCTTGGATGTTTAAGAGAATTATTACTGAAAGCAGCCTATAGGTTGCAAGCGCTGCCTTTCTTCCAGCGGTGGATTAATAGCTACAATGGGTTCTTCCAGCTGTGGGTGAAGACAGTACGGATGGCGCATGGGGATCAGGTGCAGTCTTTTGCAGCTGGTCACCCACTTTTGTCAAAACATAATTTCATCTCTTCCATAAATCATATCTGATGATAATCCTAGGAACTGTTCTTTCATTGCATTTTCCTTCCTCCTCTTTATTTGGTTTTCTCATCTTACCTAACATATGTAGGTGACATTTTCTTACAAGTCTCTAACTTGCCTGGTTTGAAATAATGGTGAGAATCAATAAATAAGATTCACTGGTAATTTAGTACACACTGTGCAACATACGGATTTATAAGAATTCCTTTTTTCATTTCTCACAGCATCTGCCAGGGGATCATCCTTTTCACTAGGGAGGGAATGGAGTCTAAGAGATCTACCTCAGCCACATGGGAGGCCAGTCCTAGGATGTGAGAGAGAAGAGGGGGTTCCTTGTTCAGCAAACACACAAGAAAAAGCAAGTTCTCCTTCCCACATTGTTCCTGCATGTGCCATTGCGGGAGCCAGGAAGTCTGCATCAGAGCCTGCAGAGGCCGTGCACTATGCATCCAAATCCTCCGAGACTCTCTACATGTCACATCTGAACTCGTTTCTACCGGTTCTCCAGTCTTGAGTGGAATAAGAGAATGGAATAAAGCTGAGAAACTATTTAATTTCTCTAAAGAATGGCTTTGATTATCATATTTTAAAATGGGATGTCAAGGACTGATGTATTTCTGTGGGTGAGACCATTAATAAACAGCTAAACGGGATTCTGTAATGGATGGACCACCTCAGCCCATGTATTTCACTACTGCGCACCATCATCACACAGTTGTAAACAGTGTGAATTCATCAGAAATAATGAATCGTCTGTGAAAATATTGTAAGCTGAAAGCCTAATGAGCTATCTAGGCTGAAAAGCCTTAAGACTGCTATTTCTATAGTGGAGGCATACATAAATAATGTAGCGGATAGTGTAAATCTAATTGGAACCTGAGTTGAGCTGGGTGTGGTGGCACAAGCCGGTAAGCCATTGTTTCAGAGTCGGGGCAAAGGATGTAGGGTTCTGGACCAGCCACAGATGCAAAGCTAGATCAGAGGAACCTAAAGCCAAAACTATGAGGGGAAATTTCCTCTCTGTTGCTTACTGCTGAGTTCTGTCGGCGTATGTCAGCTAAAATCATTTTCCCATATCCCAGACAAAGAAACAAGTCCATTCGATTCCCAAGAGCATTTACTTCCACTGCATTAAAACAATACAAAGTGACCTGTAGGTCTTCATGGAAATATCCTGAAAGTTAAGACACGGTTTCATTTGAGATGTGTCCAAGTTCATTAAAAAATTGTTTTCTCTTGTTTTAACTGTCGTGTTTGGATCTGTTTCTACAGCAAGTGAGCCTGCTCTGTCTACTGCTTACCGTCAGATTATGATTTGGGATGGCAGTCTGCTGGGCTGCAATAGCCCAGGCAGCTTTCTATTGCTGGACATTGTCACACACACAGTACTGGCTGATGAAAAAGGAAATGTCACACTTTGACTCTCCCAGCCTCAACCAAGCCTGGGAAACAGCTTGCACTGGCCTGAGGAGGCACAAATTACTCTACCCCTGGGTGAATCACTAAAGGCGGAAAAACCATAAACCCATTCTAGGGTCTTTCTCAATTTTCTTACTGAAGCTGGATAGCCCTGAATTGGTTTTCCAGGGCCTCAATTACGTTATAAAAGCCAGCAATTTAATATAATCCATCCACTTACCCATGTGGTTTCCACTGACTCCCCAAGCAACAGAGTCACAGGTGTCAGGGAGGGCTGCTGTCTTCATACAGGGGCTGTCCTGATTAATGCCCTGTTTTATGGGGAAATGTTTTCTTTTTCTCACTGTTGAGTATGCAAAGATCAGGTGTGCGACAAACACCTGTGATGCACAGGAGAAGATTTGCATAGTGAAACAAACCAGGACTAGCAAAGGGAAGACAAATGGAACGGAGCAAGATCTAGGATTTCAGACTTTATACATATGAGAACACTTGGTGCTATCATGGCAGACTGATTCCATTAAACATGGTGAGGAATCAACTCACATAAACCATGCCTATGTTAATGAGCCTATCCAAAGCCTTTAAGTGTACTTGCTACATTATTCTGGAGTTCAGGTTTTCTGTAATACTATAATGACCCACCAGACAGTCTGAGACACCTTGTAAAATGATTAGAAAATTAAATGCCTGTTAAGTTTTGTGTGAGGTGGGGGGGGGGTTCTCAAATGTCTTAGGAAGACAGAGATGTTAGTAATGCTTTCTCCTCTATGCCTTAGAATAAAAATGGTGGATTTTACACTTAACCAAAGAATGTGAGGTCAACCCCATTTAATGAGGTGGTTCTAGGATCTTAGGGTTGACCTACGAAAGATGATGATTCAAATATCTAAGTAAGAACTAAACCCATAAAACTCTTAGAAGAAAACTAACAGGGATCTAAGTGGCATGATCTTTGTCAGTAGTTACTTGGGTACCAAAACAAAGACATAGGAAGCAAAAGAAAAAATAAGGTGGTCTGCATAAAAACATTGAAAATATACGTGTGTCAAGCGGCATTACCACAAGAGTAAAATCTGATTGCAGACTGGAAGTAACCATTTGATAATCTTATAACTGACAATGAATTGACATCTAGAATATACAAAGAACTCCAAAAATGCGGCGAAGACAAAGGAGTTTAAAACAAATATAGGAAGCTTTAGATATCAACTTAACACGAACCCAGAGTCACCTGAGAAGAGAGAAGCTATGATGTCTACAGGGGATTTTCTTGGTTGATAATTGATACATGAGGGCCCGGCCCACTCTGGGCAGCACCACTCCTATTCTGGGAGGCCTGGGCTGTATATTAAAAGTAGCTGAGCAGGCCAGAGACAGCAAGCCTGTGAGCAGCATTCCTCCATGGATCCTGCTTCAGTTCCTGCCCTGAGTTCTGATACCACTCAATGATGGACTGGAACCTGGGCACTGAAGTAATCTCTTCTTCTCTAACTTGCTTTTGACTGGAGCGGTTTCCCACAGCCCAGAAAGACTCAATCAGAAATGCATCCAACAAAACACAAACGGCGGGTTAAGCACACAAGCAGGTGTTCAGTGATACTAGTAAGAGCACTATACATCAAAACCACAGTGTACCACTCTCTACCCACTGAGGAGGCTATCACACACACACTCATGGACGCAAAATGTGGAAAGCAAGTATTGGCAAGGAGACACAAAATCATAATGCTGGCACAGCTGGTGGTAACACAAAAATGGTGTGGCCATTGTGGGATCCATCATACCAGTTCTCCAAGTGATAAACTGAAGTATTACCATGTTGCCTCTGGGTATATAACCCAAAGCATGAGAAGCTCATGTGTTTTTATGCCCACTATTCAGGCACATGATTGGAGCAGTCGAATGTAGAAGTGACCCACTGACAGGTGAAAGGACAAAGAACAGAAGACATGACTGACTTCAAAAATGAAGACGTTCAAAACGGAGACTCTGATATGTGGAACCAGAATGAACACGAAAGAGAGTGTCTTAAGCAGAAGAAGCAAATAACAGAAGAACAGATATTGCTCCCCACCACGTCTCTGAGATACACACAGGTGCCAGTCTCACGGCGACACAGACTGGAGGCTTTAGGGGCCAGGAGATGGTGGAATGGGAAGTTGGTACCTAATGACTGTGGGGTTTCAATGTGGGAAGGTGAGAAGGTCCTGGAGATGGGCGGTAATGGTGGTGTGCACAGCAGTGTGAACAAAATTCATACCGCTGAGCTGTGTACCTGCAAACGGCTATGATTATTAAATCTTATCTTATGTAGGCTTATCCACAATTAAAAAAAACTTTTCAAGTGTAAAAGATAATAACGCGGGGATTCTTTAATAGATTCTTTCTCCTTTTTGGGGGGCAGTTTGAGACAGGGTTTCTGGGTGTAGCTTTGGAGGCTGTCCTGGAACTAACTCTTGCTAGCTCTTGTAGACCAGGCTGGTCTGAAACTCACAGTGATCCACCTGCCTCTGCCCCTGTCTCCCGAGTGCTGGGATCAGAGGCGTGAGCCACCACCGCCAAAACATATTTATTTTTACTTTCTATGCATTGGTGTTTTCGCCTGCATGCATGTCTGTGTGAGGCCCTTAGATCCTCTGGAACTGGAGTCCCAGACAGTTGTGAGCTGCCACGTGGGTGACAGGAAATGAACCTGGGTCCTCTGGAAGGGCAGCCAGCACTGAGCCCTCTCTCTCCAGCCCAGGGAATAGATTCTTAAAAGATCACTTTAGGGGACTGGGGTGATGGTTCAGTGGTAAGGGCGCCAGCTGCTTGCTCTTGTAGAGAACCTGGGTTCGATTCAAAGCACCACGTGCTGGCCCATGACTGTCCATACCAGGGGATCCTATGCCGTCTTCAGGCCTGTATGCATGTATGGGATACATAGACAAGCAAGAAAACCACCCATGTATATAAAATAAACCTGCTTTGGGAGCCTACTTCAGCCTTAATCACTGCTGTAGTAGGGAGATGAAATATTCCCTAGGGGCCCTGGCTAGAGCTGGATCCTCAGCCCACTGTGTGAGAATTGGTGGAGCATTTAAGGGATGAGGCCTAGCAGATGAAGTTAGGTCATTGTTGGAAACTTCCTTAAAGGAGGCATTTGAACTCTGACTTGTCCTGCTCTCTTTTTGGAAGTTTAACAGGCCCCCTCTCCATGCACTTCCTCCAGAATCTATGGCCACATCCAAACCTCCAAAATCATGGGCCAACCAATTTTGAACTCTGAGCCTCCCAAACGGTGAACCAAACTAAGCCTTCCCTCTTGAAAACCTGATTCCCTCGGGCGGTTTTTTTCCCCACAGTGCCAGAAAGCTGATAAACATGGTCACGTGTGTGCTTTAGGACTGCCACGCCAGGCACTTGAATTATGCCAAATAAATAAATTATAGATTGAAACTAGTTTTCGGGGGTTTCTTTTGGTTTTGTTTGTTTGTTTTGTTTTGTTTTGTTTCAGAGATGTGGTCTGCTGGGAAATTCCATTCCCGCGAGGAAAGAGAGGCCGGGTGAGCTTGCGGTCACATTATGAACGTACTCTGTTCCGTGCTCTTTCTTCCAGTATGGTACCCTTCGTGTTTCACTCCTGCCGTCAAAACCAGTAGACTACATACATATGCTGAGAGCGTGACCTCCACTGCTGATGACTAGAGCAAGTCCTTGTCACGGACTGAGTCAGTTAGAGACCTGGAATAATAATCTGGAATTGCGAGACAGACAAAACGGAAAGGAGAGAAAACAATGACAAAAGCAACCTGGTGGGCGGGCTCTGTGACCCCTCCATTGGGATGTATGCCCTCTAGTGGAGGCAGAAGGTAGTCGCTCACTTCCTAAGGAACAGAAGAGGTAAAAAATGCGGGATGAGAAGCCGTTTCCAAGATTACGATTCATCTTGCTCTCGATGTCACTTTCTTAATCTTGCTCACTCACTCACTATGACAGAAGCAAGTGGCGACAGCCGGGTCTTGCCCCGCGGAGAGAACCAGGTTTCGAGGAATTAAAAGAGTTCTCAGGCAATGTGATCCCAACAGTCTGCGAAGAAATAAATCCTTCAAAACCACCCACATGAGTCAGTTGAGGAGCACATCTCTCCCTGGGTGGAGCTTTCACCAAGAGTCTGCAGCGCTAGCCTAGCCGACACTTTGACAACGTGGATAGGTGAGATTTCAAGGGAGGGATACTCAGACAAGCCACACTTGGGTTCCCAATCCATCTTAAGTGTGAGGTAACACCAGCCTGTAGCTTTAGATACCAAGTTTTACAGGACTGGTTACACAGTAATCATTAATATGGATGTACAGAGGCGGTGACAAGAATCAAAGCTAAGGATGACAGCTAGCAATGGCCATTTTGCACCCTGGAGATGAAAGAGCAGGAACATCGGTCTTTGTGGAGAGAGACCAACCCGGGCTCGGGACGGGCAGTAGTCGAAAGCTTGAATGGGGACACCATGTGCATCCCCTGTGGCCCTCCCTTCGCCTTTACGGTCTTCACTGCAGTGTCGCTGATTTCATGCGTTTCTGCTCTGTGAAATCCCAGATGTTGATCGCAGCTCACCTTCATTTCCTTGATTTACCTCCTGTAGTTTGCAGACCTAACAATGAGAACTTCTAAAGGCAGCTAACAATCAGAACTTAGGAGGTGGCCATCCGGTTGAGCAGCTGAGCTTTTGAAGGCAATCCCTGCTCGACAATGACTTTGATGTTTCAAGAGGCTCTTGGCTCAAGAAGCACCCACATGTTCTGAGCCACTTGTCTTTGTCACAGGAAACTAAACCAACGTCAAGAGCATCAGTTCTACCAAACACAGCAACATCTAGCCCCCAGGTACTGACTTAGAGATTCGTTCAGAACTTAAGGATCCTGGCTGAAAACCATCAGAAACACTCAATATTGTAGCTGAAATGGAACAAATTGTTACCCTCTCTCCTCAAGAACATTGCCATGTTCTTGCTTATTATATTTTGCAATGGAAAAATGTATCCAGAGGAGGCATATTTTAATTCCTAGAAGCAGCTTATCTACATAAAAAGTACCGCTCTCTCTTAATCCAGTTAGGCCTCTTTGCTGTCTTCTGTTTTAAAGTCATGTCACTACCTAATCACTCACCATCACAACAGAATTCAAAGCAGTTTACATCCTGCAAGCTTGGCAATGAAACAGGTTTAAAAGCAATAAACAACGCTGAAACAATTCAATTCATCAACACCAAAAAAGGTGCCAGAATGAATTTGGGAATGATAAGTTTGAATTAAAAAACATTGTTCTTGGATTTAAACACCACAAATATATGTTCATAGCCAAGCTCATAGCCTTGAAAAATGACCTAGACCCTGGGAGCAAATACAAATGCCACACAGTGATTCTTCAGTGCTGGAAGACACGCTATTGGTCTCTTCGTGCACACATCCTCCTGTCATCAGGAGTTTTGCCTTGTCCTTTATTTCTACGTTTAACATTCGTCCATTCATTGTCAGAGTGAGAAAACCAGGTTTAACACGATACAAAACTGTTTGTTATTATTGCTCCCAGCTCCTACTAGCCCCAGGGCCTCAAACTTAGTGAACGTTTTTCTTCACTGAGAGCCATAGCCAATGCTCCTTCAGATTCCCAGGCAGCCAGATGTGAGCAAAGTGGTCACGCATCAGAGAGTTAAAGGGAGGTGGTGTGAGATTAATGAGGTCACACTTTGGAGCCACATGACATTCCTCAAGGGTTTGTGTTGCATGTGTATGACTGTGCTTGCACTAAGATGTGTGCGGGTGTGTTGATGTATGTTTCTGTGTATATGTGTAGGTCAGATCTAGGGTGTCCTCAGCCACATGCTACACCTCATCTTCTGTTTGAGGCAAGGTATTTCATTAGTCTAGGGATTTGTCAAGTGGTCTGTTGTATCTGGCCAGTGAACTCAAGGGATCCTCCTGTCTCCA